CTTCACTGTTCGCATCTGTAGTTCAGGATCTCTGGGGCAAAGGAAAATATTTGTGGAATCAAATTTTTATTTTAAGAATTAAAGCATTTTCATTCTTTGACAGAAATACTTCTACTGATCTCAGTAGATTAAATTTTACAGTAAATCTCCAATTTATGCAGAAAATCAGATTAGTTTCTCACCTTTGTCTTTTCTGAAAATGATTTGAAATACCTCAAGAACTGTTAAAATCATGCCGGATTATTTAAAAATCTGGGGAAGCTGGTCTACTGGATGTGTCAGATGGCATGGAATTTCACTTCTTGTTGATTTTATTTAATTGAATTATAAATTGTTAAATAACAGTTAAATCAACACCAAGCTGTTAATAATTATAACTCCATTCTACAGTATAAATTCATTTCAAATAATTGAGGAATTGTAATGACCTTGTTACTTACTCACTAAAGCTATAATTTCACTTTTGCATTCATAGGGTTGGGGCATTGTCTGCTAGAGCAGTCCTCATTATACCTTTATGAAAAATTATTCCTGCCTGTTTTCACAGACTTCTAGATTCTTCTGTTCTTCCTGCTTGCACAAGGAATGGGTCATATTGGAGCATAAAGATAACCTGTAGCAAATATGCTAGTTCAAGTGCTTCCTAGTAGGTGATATTTTATAATATTTGTGATGTAGTTGCCTGAATGATCCATATGGATGGGTAATATCATCTAGAGATTTTATTCAGATATTAACATAATATCTTGTCATCAGATTCAAACTACGTTTCCAGATTAATTCAGACTTTTAACTCCCATGTCTCTCATCAAATAATAACTTTTCCTTTCCCATTTTATGTAACTACTTTAGTGTTCAGTAAACTAGAGAAGGGCAAATAGTAATTAGACTGTGTAGGAGTTAAAAGACTTGAGTTCATTCCTATTCTAACCTTCATGTTAAAAGAGAGTTTTAAAAAGTTTACTTCCTGTAAGTTCTGTCAAAGGATTCACTGTCCTCCAATATGTTTTTACGTACTGTTCTTCTTCATAAATTTTCCTTTGTGTCTTTTTTTTAGATTGAAAGCAATTTGCTGTGATAGCCTTTTCTGTTGTAAGACAGTAAGAATCTATCACTAGAAAATCATATATGTATTTTGTTTTGAAGGCAGTGGGAAATAGCATTAATATTATTTATGTTGCAGTTGAGACTCCGTTGGAAAATTCATGTCTTCTAGAAAGGATTGGAGAATTGAAAAGTAGAAGTGTGTTGTAGAGTATCTAACTCCTGCTAGTCGAAACGTCCTGCTAGAACTGGGTGACTGAGAATCACTTCAGTTTGATAGCAGAGAGACTCAAATGCTATTAAATCCCAACCTAGGTGAAGGCCTTGTAATCTGACCTTCCTATTAGCTCTAATTCAAATAGAACATTTTATTAGCTGTTCTCTTTCTCTATTCAAATAACATTTTAAAGTACAGAACTCTGCATTCTTTATTATGGGTAAATGCCTTTCACCAAGATAATTCAAATTGTCTGCTTAGGTAAATCTAGAAATGACTGTTCTTTGTGATCTGGAATAATGTATGTTGTACAAGAACCTGAAAGCACACTGGAAGGAAGGTATAAGGGCCACTTCATCTTAATTGATTAACAGCTCTTATGTGATTCAAAGGACAGTGGTGTAATTTGAGTACGAATGGGATAAACTTGTCTTTATGATCACATTTAGTCAAGAAACTTGTGAATCAGTTGCACGTTAAATATATGGGATGTTTAATAAGCTTTTGTCATCAGACTAAATGTCTTCTTTTTTTTGTTCTATGAAGCACTTTATGTGATGCAACTTTAAAATGTGTCTTGTCTGTACCACTTCAGTACAACTTGCAGTTTTTTTTCCACCAAATGGTGGTGTAACTCAGCACATTTTAATGCTTTGACAATTTTTTTTTATATTATCAAAGGCTGTCCAGTGAAGTGCCAGTGGTTTACAGGCTGGTTTGGCCATCATAAAACTATAACGTGCAATAATAAGGAAATGTCGTGATGCTAGTGTTAATTCTGAATAATTTTAAACATCGACAATAATTAAAATTACTATTAAAATCCTAAGTTCCTAACTTCTCAAATTGATGTTTCTAAGGACACAAATATTCTAGTTTCAGAGAAATTTGGGTATTATTTTTCTCATCTAGTTTTGTATATAAAAAAAAAAATAAGAAGAATCACACTGTGTGTGTGCAAGACAACTTATACAGTGGAAAATCTCTCGTGAGTGATATTTACTTATTTAGAAATCAACGTTTTCAAGCAGTATTAGTGAAAGCAGTAGCAGTTCATAACAGTTCATGATCTTAAAGGATAGGTATCACATTTCTTTACGAATGTGTTTTTGCCTAGCTTATATTGGAGTGATTAGCTTTTTTCAATGTTTCAGCCTGATTTTGGCTTAACACTGAATTGTTTTAGCAGTGACATAACTTAGAATATTCAGCAACTGCAGGAAGAGTTCACCAGAGAAAGCTAGAACAAGTTTTCAAGGGATTTGTTCTTAGTGCTCACTGCAATATGAGTTATGTAATTAAATCCCTTAGTAATATTGGGAGATCTTGAATTCTGAGGAGTTGGGCATTAGACTTTTGAGCTGGTTCTATTATTCTTGGTACAGACTAGAATGACTTGTGGAAATACTCTGCATATATCATAAGACATCTGAAATAAGCAAGTCCTAAAAGATTTAAGAATGTTGAATGTAATTCTGAAATTGTTTTGGTCTATTCCCTGTAGATTTGAATGTTTTTGAGACTAATTACATTATGTACTGGGGTTTAGAATAAATTTGGAAAGGATGTAAGGACTTTGTAGAGCAAATGATTGCCTATCAGTAAAATGATCATATCGTGTGATATGTTTTGAAAGATAGACCAGAATTCCTTTCATACAATCAAGATGTTAATCGCTGGCAAACTTTGGTTTTAAGTAATAGGCTGTCCGTCAACAATATTGTACCAGAAGATGGAGCTGAAGAGCCTGTAATCAACATCTGTGCTGCACAACAAAACTAAGTTTAATATTGTTCACCTGAGTTTTGTAGTCTCCAATTATGAGATCAAAAAAGAAATTGCTGTGATTGCAGCAACTTCAGCATTTTATAGTCCTGTAACCTTAAAAACAGTTAAAACAAGATGAAACCAAGATAAAAACAGATACAAATTCAAACTAAGCAGTTAATGAGCATGTTTCAATGGAATACATCCATACAATAATATTTAGATAATGTTTTTGTTAGAAATATGCACAGAATTATTTAAAAACTTGGTCAAAGAACTCCCATAGGTTAAACTGAATGGAGTTGTATGCGTTTAATATTGTTCATACCAAAATATTTGCAGAACCGTGACATTATTTAGGTTGCAGACTCTCATCCCTTACTTTTCACAAAACTTTTAAACAGGATGACTCCGTATAGCGAGAATATGCTATGGAATTTTAAAGAAAGAGGGCTAACTCCAATTGGTATCAAAAGATTATGAACATGTCTATGGCTGATGGCTCTTGTAATTAGTATTTTCTGGCATTCTATTTTATAGCTTTGTTACAGAGCTATAGTCATGAAATGTACACATTCTGTTTTTGGAGTTTCTAAACAAAATGAAAATATGTAAATCTTATTAACAAAGATGACAGCATTTTAAAACTGAATCATAGTCATCTACAAGCATAGGAACTTCCCCTCTTGCTCCATCTAATGCAGCAGTAATTAAAGATTAACTAACCCTAACACAGAAAAGTTAAAATGTCCTTTTAAAATCATTTCCTTTTCTCACTGTAGCAACATGCCAATAAATAGATATGTAAAGAACAATATTTGGCACATTAGGTTGACTAGAACTGATTGAAGTCTTCCAAAAATTTCTCTGATTTTCTATTTTCAGTACAAAAAATGTTTGAAAAGCACTTAGAATATTGAAAGTACTTTTTGATATTTAATTTAAAAAAGCAGTATATTCTGTCATTCTACTTATTCAGTGGAAACAAGCTCAGGAAAGAAAGAACTTTTACCTTGTCTGTGAACTTGTACATTTTACATTAGGTCATTTTGCTCTCAGCTGTGATGGAAATCTTGCTGCATCATTCTTCTCCTTCCAGCCTGCTGTGTGCTCCACCCACAATGCCAGTCTACCAAAATTATTAGGCCAGAGCTTTAATGGACAATTATCTAATGAGTTCCTCTAACAAGTAACACTTTGACTTACATTCCTTCTGCCAATAAAATTTAACTGTGCAGGATAACAGTTCAAGTGTTCTTTTGTTCAACAAAAGCTAAGATCATAAATATTCCTATGCTTTCCAAGCTGATAGTATAAAAATGCTTGTATTTTCTTCGTTAGTAGATTAGAAATGCAAATGGAGAGAGGTTCACCTGTCTCAGTCTCTATAACCAGTAAGAAATATATAGTAAATGATTACTTATTTGCCCAGAAAGTTTGTGCGTGCCCTCTGCCCCAAAGCTTTCAAGGCCAGGCTGGACGGGGCTTTGAGCAACCTGGTCTAGTGGGATGTGTCCATGCCTTTAACAGGGAAGTTGGAACTAGGTGATTTTAAAGGAAAAAAAAAACAAATATTGTTTTTGAGATTACTGCTGGAATAATAGATAGCTATTTAAAATTTTTGCCATGCTTAACCTTTTTTTTTTTTTTTTTTTTTCCATGTAGAACTTCTTTGTGCTTTGTAATTATTGTAGACTTTGCCTCCAATAAAATAGCAATGGTTCCAGTGTCACTATTTGACCTTGGTTTTCGAGTCTGACATAGTAACATGTGGGTCTGAGTGGATGATGAGCTATTGTAGATTTTTGAGAGGATAACTGCTTTGAATTCAGTAGAACTATCACAATTTGGAAGTGAGGTAATGCAGTGATGAATCAGTATAAAAATAAGATAATAAAGGGTAGAATCAGTCTTACTTCTACTGCCCATAATCCTTAAATAACCTGTGACAATAAAAGTAACTTCCTTGCAGAATTCTTTCATAAATGGATGCACCTGAGGAAGAGTCTGAAGAAGGAAGAACGCTCAGAAGACAGAATTGTAAGTACTATGATTAATGTTCAGCAAGAGTGAAAGAGAGAAGTCTTTTCATAGGCATTTATGTCTTAATATATTTCTGGAAATATTTTATAAATCAGCTATTACACAGGACGTCCTCTATGTTATAAAGAAGCGTACTGAAGAAGTGCTGAAGAAAAGCATTTGTTGGTCATACTCAGAATCTACTCACATTCTGAATCCCAACATTTTTTTAGTGACTTTGCTAAAAGACTTAAATGACAGAGTTTTTATAACACTGTCTGTTTCACTCAGTTATTCCATTAGATTCTTAAATGTTTCAAGCGTTTTTTGAAATTAAGCATCTACCACCTCTCTGGAAAGCCTGTTCTGGAGTTGGTCCACCCCCACAGTAAATAATTTTTTCTTAAAGTCCAGTCTGAATGTCCCCTTGTGCAGCTTAGTGTCATTCCTTCTCATTCTATTGTTATTTTTTCACTGCTTGAAAAAGCTTAGTTATATATCATACAAATCAAGATTATTACAGATAGCATATTTCTCTTGAGGTATTTTTGAAAACTAAAGCTTGACCATATGGTCTTTTTATGCATGGAGTTCTCAGGTAAATCTGAAGACAGCTTGTAGAGGTAGTAGGCCTACTGTAAATTTACACAATAGGTCTATAACTTACATCTGGTTCTTTCTGACTGCCTTTATTCTGACTGCATAAAGTTCTCCACCTTTTTGGTTGTAATAAAGATTAGTAATGAGCAAAAGATTGTTGCAGGGGTTGCAGAAGCCATCTTAAAGCCATATCTCATTATTTTGTATGTAGAAAATGATTTACTTACATTTTAGCACGAAATTGCTTTCCATTATTTAATGGTATTGCTATTACATTAATTCAATTGAAAATCAGTAGTCTCAGTCATATTTCTCATGGGCCTGATTTCAGGGTCTTGTGTACAATCTGAATCTTATCCACATGACTAAGCGACTGCTGTAGTGAAACTGTCTATGCCAGCTTCCTTTGTGGAAGAAAGTCGTTGCATTATCGAATGTATTTAGGATGACTTAAAGGGATGTCTCTCAGAACACTAATACCGTTAGTAGGATTGGGGTCCACAGAAAATACAATTAAAATAATCTTTTATGAAAAACTAAGAAAGGGAAGAATCAGGTCAATAATTTTCCAGTTTAGAATTTTAGTTGGTTGAATTAATGTTTATTGTATAGTGTCATATTCCTAAGGATGTTACTCTAAAGTAAGAACACAGTTAGCTTGTGACCTCATTATAACTGGCTTTTACGTTTGCTGTTTTGCACTTTTGTAGTTGAGATAAAATTGAAGGAGGGGAAAGCTGATCTCAAAGGTGAATAGATAATAAATCTTGCAGAGAATTAATAATCTGCTGAAGCTCACGTTGCTTTATCTTATGTCCTTTTTGTCAAATTGTTATATTCTCCCAGACACTTTCTAATTAGCCTCTTTCAATCTCCTTCTATCAGTTCTATTGGTTTCATTTCCCTGTACTACACTTAGCACTCGCATTTGAAAGCCTGTATTTTTATGCTTAATGCTTCTGCTGCATAATTAATTTGTCTTAAAAGAGACTGTGTATGCATAAACCAGATTAACATTCTTTCAGTCTCTTAAAGTCTGAATTTATTTTGGAATATTGTTAAGAAAAATTTTCTCGCTCTATTTCTGTCCTCGAATGTAACTCCCTTGGCCATATTGAATCTTTTTTACACAGAGAAGAGCAAATAATTCAGTTACTGCTGCTAATTCTCCCAGAGCGTCTTTACTGATGCTGTACTGTTCTATGTAACCTGACTGTATTTTTGAAGTATAAAGATTATAAATAACACTTCTGTAAAAAGGAAAAAAATGAAAAAGAAAAAAACAAAACAAAACCAATACAGACTAAGCTAAATATACCTAAGCCAAATATCCTCTCCTTTTCGTAGACTCTCCTCTAGCTCAGCTTCATTCTGTTTTTCCCCTTCTCTGCACAAAATAGAAGAAACACATATGTTTTGATGCAATGCCCACTGAAGCAGTAGAATTTTCTCTGATTTCAGAGACCCAACTACCCCTTGTAAATCACATGATGCTTTAATTGTATGGAATCATAGTTTTAAAAGTAGCAGGGTAGCTTTTTCTTCTCTACCATAAAGAGTGTGGCAGTAAGTTTTTGTTTAGTTCTGAATTTTTGGTTGTATGGAAGTTACAGCTTCACATATTTCTTTTGATATCCTATCCTGCTGTTACATTTCACTTTGTAGTCTTCATTTTAACTCTTTCTTTTCAATAATGACTTTAGGTAGTAGTGTTTTCTTAGTTTAGAGTCGGTGACTCTGTTGCTTAGTCAAGGCTATAATTATATGATGAATGAGAAGTGATTAAATAATTTAAAAATTATTCAACAACTCTTGTTTAAATGTGCTTTGCACTACAGGATTTAGAATATTTTGATGCTTACATAGGCCTGAAGTCTATAACCTATAAAACAAGGAAAAGGCCTAATTGCTCTGTGCATGGATTATTTATAACTAAGTGGTTTATGAAGGAATAAGAGTCCATAAAAAGAATGCCACCGAGTATTAAAAGCAATCTGTTTGTCTCTTTTTAACAGGGATAAGAATATTAGCTCATAGATTTCAGAAATACAACCTTATGTATGTGACGATTGCATTCTAATTTTAAAATTAGAGTTAAGATTAAAAGCAAGTGTCAATTAAGAAACCTTATGTATCAGAGTGGAGGCCTTGCTAGAATTTTGTCTGTCTTATTTGTTCAAAAACTTGGAATGTATATGCTATTCAAAAGGGGGGCTTTCTCATATTTTTCACTTACTTTGATGCTCTTTTGGTGAAAGTAGGTAGGTTGTAAAGGTCTCAGCCTTGTGAAAACAGATTCGAGACCACTTGCTGCCTAGATTAGACAGTCATTTCTTTCAGGGGAATGGAAAGTTTATTTTACTGTTTCTGCTGTTTTAAATATTGGAGCCAATCTCCTTTCTCAAATCTGTAGTATTAACATTTAAATGCTTATCCTAGTTATTTCTTTATCATAGTTAGGAAAGTAAGAATTCAAGACATGAAGTGGCAATGCGTTCTGTTAAAAAATCTCACAGAGATACCTTTTCTAATTTAAAGGTCCAGCTATTGGAAGATAATATGTGGCTGTGTCTGACAGGCCCTGAATAGAGAGGAGAAACTTGTGAAATACTAACTTCCAAGGAGAAAGACTTGATCTAACTAGGAGGGGAAGCACAACTCAAGTTCTTTTTAACATGGGATTTTCACAACAGTTATGCCTGCATATGTATTGATACGGACATAAGCAGGCATAATTCCAATATGCAGAGAATGCTTATGTCAGCCTACTTCTTTCTCTCTTTTCTCATTTATATCCTGATTCAGAATTTGTCACATTCTCCTTTCTGACCCCATACATCTTGGCTTCTCGGGATACATGGTTCAGCTTCATTTTTCTTATTCACACTAACACAAGATACTAGCAGCATGCATTTTTTATGAAATAATCTTGGATCAGATTTTGTTTCAAGTTGGCAAATAGGGATGTCAAGCACACTAAATATGCTTAATATTTTTGAATGCATAAAATTATTTCCTCCTGGTTTACTACAGGTCAGCCAACAGTCAAGTTTAACACCCAAGTAATTAAAGAAATAGTAATATCTCACTATTTAATGGTATGAGCCATTTGAATTGTTATTAATACATAATTAAAATCTGTCTTTGAGGTGATACTTGATCACACTTGAAAACTGCTATGGACACTTGAAACTTAAATTGATGCACCAATACACTAATGCTCACCTTTTGTTAACCTGCTGGTTAGTTAATCACATTTAATTTACCCCTTTGCTGAAGGTATTGCTACTAGGGTACATGCACTTAATAGTTCTCTTGATTCGTAGATTATTTATGTCTTTTGAAAAGCATAGTTTGGGGAGTATGTGGTGGTTTTCTGAGTAGTAGAAGCAAGAAGTTGGCATTAACTATACAGTCCAATGCTGAAAAGAGGGGGGAAAAAGAAATATAAATCAGACAAATGTAGTACATGACTCTTTTTTTATGTGCATGAGAAATGGAAAGAGCTGTATGGAGAAAGTCGATGGAGTAGTAAATGAATTTTCTGTTCTGAGAAACAGGGTAGAATAACCTCAGAGTAGTTAGTATTAGTACTAGAAGATCAGGAAGAAACAATCTATTTTTACTTCTTTAACAAACTATTTTAATTCTGTTTTTATGATTCTAATGGGCAGCACAGCACAATCTATATCTAGCAATGACAACATAAGTGTATCTATATTCAGTTTATCAATTTTATCTATACGTTTTGAAAGCAATACTCTTAACAAAAATTGAGGCGTAAAGTGTGAATGGAAGTATGTTTCCTTAGTCAAGCTGTTTGTTAAAATATCTTTAAAAATGGTGCTTTAGAAGAGCTTCATAAACACGATATGCTTTGCTGAATGCATATATTGATGCAGTTAGTAACACTGCCAAATGCAAATACTCATGTTGTTAGTAATGTTCTCTCCAGAGACCCCAGGAAAAATTAAGACAGTGATTAGAATTTTTTCTTAAAAAAAGCAAAAACAAAAACCAACAACAAAACCCTCATCAAATTGTCCACCAGTGTTGAAAGTTATGAGATACCACATACCTTACTACACCTTAATTTCATCTACCTTGGAATCCCATTTTAAATCCTTTTCATTCTTCTGTCCCTTACATAAGAGGAAAAATTAAAATCCAAGGGAAGATATAATACTAGTGATATGTGTGAAACGCACTTCTCTTGAAATTTCTGTTGACCTGAAGCTATCAACTATATCTAGTGCCTAATCTGTATGTTTCTTTAGATTTTGGTTTGATGTTACAAGTCTGAGACCCTTCTGAGACCTCTTCCAAAGGAAAAAAAAAAAGTTCCTGTTTGCCAGATATACATGACTACATGAAAGTATGTTACATATAGTTTGGAGCATAAAGCAGTTAGAATACATCTGAGATCGTAAATCATAAGCATTTCTACACAGGAAAAGAGTGACTGTGGGGATTGCATCAGTACAGTCTTCTGTTCAAATCAACAAAGACGGAAGGCTGAATGAAGTGCTCTGAAATAATACTTGTGTGTTTGTATGTGTCCCCAGTTTTTCTTGTATTTTACATTTTTTTCTCTTCACATTTTTTTCAGAGAATCTAAAAAGATACCATGACTTATAGAAGCCTGACTGTTAAGACTGAATTACAGATACTCATACAATTGAAAACAAGTAAACAAACAAAATTTAGTTAACAAAACTCCTATTTCATTTAATCTTTCTTTTCTGACCTATGATAGTAGTATGTCATAAATGTTCTAGATGAAAGTTTGTTTTGGGCAATAAAATACCCATGAATTACTGTTAAGTCTTTATGTAGAAAACAAATCCTATGCTGACTGAGTTGTACAGTTTATGATTCAGTCATAGCTGCTGAAGCTTGGAGCAGAGAGTATATTCTAAAAATGCCATGTTATCAGTGGATTGTCAAGTCATTTCTGATTTAGCCCCTGGCTCTAACCAGACTGTCCTGTTTTCTGAGATAGTAATAAAAAGATAAGCCATGGGAGTTAAGGAGGAAAAAAAAAAAAAAGCCCATTTGCATTCAGATGAGTGATTTTTATTTTTTTTTTTTCCCCAGCATCTCTTTCTATTTTATCTTAGGAAAATTATCATAGATTTGATCAAAAGCAGAGGGAAAAAGCATAAATCTAAAGACAGGTTAACAGAAGAGTTTCTTATTATGATAACTTCAGTAGATAACTCATGCATACAGAAATGTCTTTCCGCTCACTGAAATCTAGTGTACAGTATATTACATTATTGATCGAGAGTATTAAATGTGACACTGAAATGTCAAATAACTTCAAAACAACCTACAACACAGAATTTCATTTTTATAAGATTCCTCTTAAAATGTTGCTATGGTTCCTCAAATTTAATGGCATATAATAAGTCTCATTTTGCCAGTCGTTCTTGAGAGCATACAAAATATAGGGGTATATTAATGTGATTATACTATATACACTGAACACAATATTTTCAGCTATTTTCTCAGATATTCTTCTGGTAATAACCAATCGGGCAACTTGTTCATGAATTTACATTAAAAAATCTAATAATGTATTATTATTCACTTATTATTATTCACCTTGTATTCACTTAGAAGAATGTTAACCAGTGACAGAACTTGGTAGGATGGAGAAATTTTGGTCTTTTTCATGTAGGGCTGTCCCTTTTCAAAGCATACTTTAGGCTATGTGTAGAAGATTACTGTACGGGGATTAGAATTTAGTGGCAGATGGCAAATGCTTCTCCTTCTTTCTCTATGAAATATATTATTGAAGAGGAAGTCTACTTGTAGTAACAGTTTTGAACAAATAAATGAAAGTGAAATTCAGCAGATAAACACCATTGAGCATAAATAAACTAAGAACATATTTTTATAATGTTAGCTTTCTGTAAGATACAAAGCAGATACTGTTCTTTCAGAAATTTTTAATGAGGTTAATGTGTGAACTGTAGAAGTGGTTGTATCATGGCTTGTGAGGAAAAAACACAATTGAAATTTCTGCTCCCAAATAGTAGTCAGCTGTACATTGCAGTGTATTTTTGTATCCTGCAGTACAAGCATTTGATATTAAAATGTGTTAGAAAAGAGGTCTGAACTAGGCTAAATTAAGTTAACTTGCGTTTTCTGTGGTCTGAGAGGCTGTTTCCTGTCTGTTTTCAAAGCTCAGGTAGCATACAAAGTGTAATAGAATCAAACAATGTTTTGTATTGAAAGAGACCTTTAAGATCACCGATTTCCAACCCCCATGCCATGGGCAGGGACATCTTCCACTAGACCACATTGTGTGAAGCCCCATCCAACCTGGCCTTGAACGCATCCAGGGATGGGGCATCCAAAACTTTTCTGGGCTATCTGTTCCTGTGTCTCACCACCCTCTGAGTAAAGAATTTCTTCCTAATGTCTAATATATGTCTACTCTCTCAATCTGGACATTGATTTCACATATATGTATATAAAGACAATCTGTAAAGAACTTCTATGGGAGAGATTGAAGGACAAACAGTGTATCACAAGAAGGCAGCAGGAAAGATTCTGACATCTATGGTGTTCTGTATTGCTTTAACAATGGACTGTTTGTTAACTAAACTTGGAGTGGAAGGGAGGAATTTATAATGATTGCTTTTTTTTCTTCCTTTTTTTTTTTTTTAAACCATTCTTTGGGTAGGCCTTAATCCTTTGTTCCACCACTGAGCTACATTCCTTTTGTTGTACAGTAAAAGAGATTTCTACTTAAGTGGAATTCTCCTAGATTAGTGAATGTAGTTCATTATGAATGTTCTGAGCACAACTTTCAACAACTATACAAACCCTTATTGTATAAAGGCTAAATATATTTGGGTACAAAGTCTAATACAGTTGTAACCATTGTAACCATTAAAATGAAACCACTTTTATGTAAAGGACAGGCATTCTTCCTGTTACTGAGATTCTCTGTAGAGCAGTTTACTCAAGTTGAAGAAATATGTCTGTTAGAGATGGATGAGAATGTGCATAAAGGTGATCATCTCAGGAATGGTTAAAAACTTCAGAGAAATATTCTCAGTTCTGATGGTATGAATAACAATATGCTGTCTTGCAGATATAACATGCTTTTTTTTCTCTGTTATCATCTATAATAAATCTTCTAATATTTAAAAAATGAATATTAAAAAGTTGAAAAACAGTTAAGCTGAGTCAAAAATGAGTTGGCTTTTTAAACTTCCTTGTTTACAGACGGTTATGAGTCGTCGCCTCTTAGCAGAGTACTCGGCAGTGCCAGTCTATGAAATGCCAGCGGAAGGCTACATGATCTTGCTTCCAGCAGCTACACTGAATCAAAGTGAGTAAAAGTAAGTTGCTTTGACTTTTGTGGAAGAAATTATTACTGTTGCCAGAAGGTAGTTGTGCAAAAGCAGGGCATATGCATTATGCTGTTATTCCACAGTATGAAAGGATTTGAAGATAGCAGTCGTATGCAAATGATAGGTCTATGTATGTAATTAAAGATGAGTTCTCAGCTTCATTTATAGTAATTTGCTCTATCAGCTTACGGACTAGGTAGGTGAATCAATTGGAATAAAATACTTCCACCTAAAGCAAAGTATTACTGTATTTTAAATATCGGTGATAAAACTACGAATCAATCAAATAAATCTTTCTTTGCCTTTGGCTTCTAGTAATAATTCAAAACATTGCCCAAATCCTCACTTACGATAACATTTCCTTGAAAACAAATAGATGGTGCATTACACAGCTGTAATGTATTTATTTGAAGCAAGTACATATCACTATACTTGACTATACTTCATATATATCTATATGCAGCATTTATACATACATATATACAAAATAAATGTGTGACAAATTTACACATGCAATATCACATTGAAATAGCCACAGGAAATATAAAAGGTGGTGTTTCCCATCACTACTACATCAGTGCTTCAAGATGTTGCTGTAAGTCTGTGCACAGCTGTCTTGGAAAATGAACTAGAATGTTCTAAAAATAAAAGCTAAAAAAGTGTTGTTGTTTTTAAACAGACAAAGTATTTGAGATACAGACAACATTTGATATTGTTTCTGCAAACCATCTTAGAGGCTGTTGTTAATAATGCAAACCTCAAATGTGTGTCTGCTTAGTACCTTCAGGGGGGAATTTAGAGAGAGCAGTGTTACAGAAAGAAAGGTTAAGTTTTTTAATAAACTATGTGTAAGCCATATGGAACACTAGAGTCAACGTCGCTAATATTATATATGTAAGTACATACACACAGTTTGCTCCAAAAGTCATGCCTCCTATTTAATTCTGTGAAAACCTCAGCAGATACGAAGAGCACAATAAAATGTTTGATAGTGCAAATTCTCAGCTATAAAACACTATTTTTCAATGCAATAAAAATGTTAGCTATGTATTTTTACCAGTGATAAACAAGTTTGCATGCCATGCTCAAAACAATCTACATGGCCGTCCCAAATGTGGCTTGTCTTTCATGTTGCTGTCACCACTGCTGAAATGCACTATCCACTACCTCAGTGTGTTCACATCCACTGATTGGTCTCCAAAAACATTCAACAAGCATTGACGGATGTCAATGGGTGTCATTTTTTCTTCATGGAGGAATTCATTCACACACCTTTGTTTCATAAACACTTCCATGTCAGATGCCTTTTTATCAGACTGCTTCTCTGCTGCTATCTGTCACACAGTAACAAAATACAGAGGGATATTGGTGAGAAAGGAACTTTCACATACTGCCAATGTCTGTATCTGATGTGATGGGCCAATGTAATAAAATAGGCAGCATTACTTTTGGAGCAGCACTCGTGTATATGCTGCAAGGAAAAAAAATTGCTGCAGCGTTAGCAGAAAAATGATATGGAGATAAATGGCTTGTTGCAGAATATTGAGCAAAAAATTTCTCTTGCAGTTAATCTGAGAAATCATGGGATATTCCAGTAATCTGGATTACAATAATTTCTTCATTTGCTGCAATTTAAACTTAAAATGAAAAATGGAAAAAAAAAAAAAAAAAATGACAGGTTCCATGGTCTCTGATTAGCAGACCTTCTGTTACTGTACTACACTACCTGGATATTGCTGTAAATAGCTTGCATGTTTTTCTCCTTTGGACGTGTTCTTGCATAGTTACGATCTAAGAATTTATTTCTGCAATAAGCTTTCTAAGCTGTGAATTACCTGTTTAATCAATGTTAATTTTCTAAAATGGAGTAGGAGTTGGTGTTGGAAACCCAGAGCAATGCATGGAGTATAGCTGTAGTTCTAAAGGTTAGCTGTAGTCTTTGTCTTTAGACTACGCTACCTAAATAGCATTTTTGTTTCTAACTTCAAGTATTTTTACAGGTTGTAAAATTTCACTCCTAGATGAAAACATATACATACTGTTGGCACCTTGAGGATTACGTAAATGTAAAAATTTAGTTATGCTTAATTCTGCCTTTTGTTTTTGGAGAAAAAAAAAAGCTATGTTTGCTGAACTGAGATTGCAGGTGTCTAGGCTCTAATTTTAATTAATGTGTGAGCTTGGGAAACATTTCAGCTCTGTGCGTCACCTTGCTAATTGGGATAGTGATAACAATTCACTTCTATTAGAGTTTTTAGGACTATCAATAAAATGCACTGTAGAAGAAAATAGCGGGTTTTTGTTCAAGTTTTTTAAACTCCTCATCGAATAATTCTAATAGGTAAATATTCTATCTGCTCACTATATATGTATTGCATATGCTTAAGTATTTTGTGTGTCTGGATGTTCAGTGATGTAAATCTAGGTGAATATTCTTGTGAATTAGACTTGTGAATCTTCAGTTGAGAGCTCAAAAGTGAATAGACTATTAGGCTACAAATTATTCCTTCTATCTACTCATTTCTGAAAGGAGACTTACTGCATTTTTTATGTACTCTAACAAGTGTTTTTTTTATTCTTTGTTCTCTGTGCTCCATTATTATTCCATATTCTTCAGGTTATTCTTATTTTTATTCCTTGCTTTCTTCTTTAGTCATATCCTGACATTTATACCAAACAATAATCTCTTCAGTGCGTCTGCTTGAAACCCTGTTGAATCCTTAGTGCTTCAAGGGAAATCACAATCACAATCTTGGCAATTGTGCAATGTATTGTATAATATTAATTTTATAATGATAATCAATAACACAAATGATAATCAGTGAAACAAATGATAATCATTCTAAACAGAGTAGCAAATCATTCATGTGTTTATTATTGTCATGTTACCTTAAATAATTGAGTAATTTTGTTCATTGAAAATTCCTTCTGGATAAGACAGAAATTCATTGATTGTCAGAAAAACTGAGCAGTGAAAAGGCTTTCCCAGAGAAGTAATGGAATATTCCTCATGGGGAAGTCCCAGCTCCTTCCCAATTTCTACTTCAGGGTCTCAAGTGAAAAGATCAAGAACTACAACTATAGCCTTCTTTTCAACAAAATCTTAATTTGTCTCCCTTTTAACTTTCTTATTCAATGACACTGAGAGTTTGAGGATGTTTTTGGTATTATCTGAACCATCTTCCTAATTCTATTTTTTAAGAAGATGATCAAGATTTTGCATTGATATTTCTTTGGACAGAGGACTCTAAAAATAAATTTCGTAATTAATGGTGATGTTACTTTTGAACTGAACCAAATTATAAATTATCTACCTTGTGTCCTAGAACCTGTTTGACAAAATAGTTTTATTAAACAACTTCTATTTGGATTACATCTTAAAAATTATTAATCCTTTATTACTGTAGAAATATTTTTATTTTAGAAATGTATCTCAGACCACAGACTGTCTTTAAAGATGGCCCATGAAGGAAGTATACTTCCAGCAAAGCATTCTCAGAAGTTCTTAGCTCTGGTAAAAGTAGTTCTCTCTAAATTTCGATGTTATTTATTCATGTGATCCTATAGTATTATTAGAGGTTGAAGTGTAGAATGAAGATTTTGTACTGTAAGCAAGAAGAAACTATTTTGTTACTTGAGGAATTTTATTTAGGAAGAAGTTTACAGTAATCTGACTGTAAGTTTTAAGACTGTTTCATTTTCTTATTTAATATCCTCATGATTTCTCTTCTGAGATTTTCTAAAAGACACAGTTGTATGTTCTCAGCGTTTTGAGACTGCATATTTTGAAAATAATGGACGACAAATTGGGCATGGAAAATTTATAGTCAATATGGCAAGAGGCTCAGTTTTATCATGAGTTGAAACTGATGTTCACACATGACATGACAAAAAGATGTCCAGCAAATACAGATCACTACATTGTTGTCATAGTACTGTTTTGATTAACTTTATTACAGTTTTACCTGTCTTCCCAAAGAAAAACAATAACAAACTAGGAACATTCTTCTTCTTTAAATTATTATTTTTTAACCCCTTTGCAGTAATTATTTAACTATTGTATCTATACAAGGAAAAGAATAAAGAAAAATTCCCCCTATAGCTATCTTTGAGTTTTACAGAATGAAGGTAGCTTTATTTGAACTGCTGTGTGAACATTTTAAATTTACTTTGTGCAAGTCTCTCAATGGAGGTGTGATCAGCATGGTATTAAAACTTTTAAAAGTTTTCCTAATACAGGGCTTCTGGCATCATTATAAACACATGTTGAAAGTTTAAAGATAGTACATAAAGTTAAAATGGGACAGGAATACATAAATGTTAAATAAAAATAAAAAGCCATGACTTAATCCTAGCTAATTGGTATGCAGACAGAATGAAAAGTGTGGATTCATTCCACCAGCTCTTCTTCATTAGGTGAAATGGCCTTGTGGATGTAGATGGAACTGGATCAGTTGGCAGATGTGCAGCTAAGCCACTAACGAAAAATATTCATTAGCAGAGAGATTGCAGATGAACAAGAAAGTACACCCACAAACACTTTTCATACACTGAGATGTCATTACAAATGTTCTTTTCCTTTTAAAACTTCAGTATTTTGGATTTATTTACTATGTTCTCTAAATATCAATCTTCTGTATTTTTTATTGTTTTTCCCAGCTTTGGTAGCTTATGTGGAAGGAGATAGCTTCTGTGCAGAAGTAGAATCTTTCTCAAGACAGCCTGTTTTAAACATTTCATTTGTTCTGTGTAGGTGGGATTTCAATATCGGTGTTCCTCAGATTAACAAAAAAACAACAACAAAATAAATCAAAAGAAAACCAACCAAACAAAAAACACCTATAATATCATGTTTTAATTGCTTTTTCACTAAAAGGAAACATTTTTCTTCCCCTTGGTTCTATGACTTTCTTGTATATTCCTGCCAGAATTCTGAGCCTTTTCAAGTTCCATGTGGTGAAAAGTCATTGCTATGGAGAGCTGAAGTCAAAAAGGATCTTTCCTGACTTATTTGAAAAAGTAATTTACATGGGAAATATTTCCCATCAGA